TGATCGGCTTTAACTTTTACCATCGGTGGGTTTTGTTAAAACGGTTTGCCACTTCCAGCTGTGTAAATATCAAGTTGGCAATTTTATTAAGTAAATTATTTCCCATGTAATAACTTACTTTATTAAAGATTCGCCGGTATTCTCCGGCCCGGGCCTTTTCCAAGTGGTGGCCCGGCCTTGGCTCCCTCTAGGCAGTGTGAGACCCAAGTCTCCCATATTTGTCACTTGGTATTTAGTCACTTAGTATTTAGTCAACTTATTCCATAAATTGTTACAATTTAGGGTTAAGAATTAATCCAAGTTTGCCCGAAATGCCTAGGCATGCTAGGTGTTCTAGTGGCCCCCTCTGCAATTAGTATTTTACTACATGTAAACCACAAACCAAAATCTGTAAGCCCTGCAATGTAATCCTTATAGAGAATAAAACCGATTTGAATATGATGAAGGAGGCATAAGGACCTCCTAATTTTTGGGACCAACTGTCCTCAGGCCTAGCCACAAGCTACGCCTCTGGTCTGCCATCCCCGCCCCAAGGGGACTAATGGAATGACAGTCTGAGCTACAAGCTCTGGCTCAGGCACGTACCCTACCCTAGAAGGGCTGGGCATGGTGCATCATGTAATAACCAGTGAATGCGTCTTACCGGCTTCAAACCCTATACCTTCTAAAAAAACTTTTCTAATTTTAGGCTGTGGGGGGGGGGGGAATTTTTCCAAATACTTGCCCGTTTCATAAGTTTGTTTTAAACAAATCAAAAGTCAACAGTTTCTTGCAGGATTGTAGAGAATTTTAAGTAGAATGTAAAATAGGAAAAACCAAACTGGAAAAATAGTAACACGCTGTTTTATGGGAATTTTAAGTTTAACGAGGGAGACTTAACTATTTGTCAGAACATTTTCAGCATTAGTTTATTACTCGAGAACTCTACTCTATCGATTTCAAATTTTCGACACTTGTGTAATGTATCTTGGGCAAGATTCACTGGATTATGTGGATGCGTGGGCGGTCCTATGTACAATTTATTACTTTGGGTTTATTCCAAAATTTTGTTTTCGGGGGATAGGGGGGGACAGACCCCTATCGCCTTATGAATTTTTTTTTCCATCAGTTGTGAAATCTTAAAATTTTTTGGAAATTTTTAATGGATTTGATGTAAAGTGTTATTTTACAATATCCTTTAAACCCTACCCTGACACTTTTGGGGGGGCCTCTTAAATTAAAGGAATTTTAAGTTCTCTCCCTGCTTGGGAATCAAATTTTAGACTTCCCCTTTCCACAGGCTTTGTGTGCCCCCAAACGGGTTTAGCGCTTCCCCCTCCGTTTAAAATTTTAAAACAATCGTGAACGAGATCAGCCCCCAGGGGTCGATACATCAAATTAAAAAATTTAAAAAGGGGGTTTAAAATGTTCATAATTAATTTTAAATAACTTTTACTAATATAGGAATTTTCAAATTTTATTTTTTTTTTGACAAAAAAAATCTCAAAGAAAATTTGTGTTTTTAAATAATTAGACAAACCAAATTTAAGATAAGTTTCACAGAAAAAAAATTTTCCCTATTGAAAAGGGTTAAAGAAAACCCCAAAAGTTTAACATTAGACATTTTCAACACTTTGGGCTTTTTCCGGAAACTTTTTCCGCAAAACATGGCTTCATCAGTACATAATTTTTTTTTTTTCACCGGTATTTTTTCCCGGCCCGGGCCCTTTTCCAAGTAGTGGTAAACCCCCCCTTGGGCTCCTACCCGGGGAGTGCCTCGAGATTTTAAGTTCCCATGGGGGGGAGGTACAATTTAACTCATGATCCCCAACCTTTCCCCCCTTTTTACGGGAAACTAGGGAGGGCACTGTGGCGAAACGTTTCCTCAAAGATACCACAGGGGGTTGCACATGTTAATTTATCACATTTCCCCGTGGTGGGGGAGGGTCCCCGGGTCTCCCCTCCACCTGTCCCGGGTCTGCCTCCACCCTTTCAGGCGGGGCGGCTTGGTAAACCCGTCTGAAATGATAGGGGGAAAAAATTTAGAGAAAGGGGGGGGGGGTAAAAAAAGGGCGGGAAGGGTCAATTTTTTTTAAGGGAAAAATATAAAATAACCTGAAATTGGAAGAAACTTGGGGAAAACGTTTCTGTCCGACTTTCACCTTTAAAACCAGCACGAAAGCTTTAAAGGGGAAAAAAAAAAAAAAAAAAAAAAAAAAAAAAAAAAAAAAAAAAATTATATAAAATATATAAAAGAGGGGGACGGGAGTAGTCAAACGAAAAGGAATAGTAGTATTATAATGTATAAAAAGTAATGAAAAAGTGGTAATACAAGGGGGTGGGGGTTGGGAGACAGTGAAGAGTTGTAATAGTGGAGGTAGTGAAAGAACAAGAAACAGTAAGACAGGGGGAGATTTAAAGACCCACGGGGGTAAACCAAACTCCAGGGGGAACCAAAACGCCATAGGATGGAACCCAACTAGGTAAAAAAAAGGGGAAATACAGAAAAAAAAATGGGGAAAGGGAAAAGAGAAAGACCCGGTTTCAAACCAAGGGGTTTTAAAGTTTGGGTCTTTTGAAAAAAGGGGGTAAGACAAAAAACCAGGATAAAAAATTCTTTTAAGGAAATTTTGTGTAAAAGGGGAAATTTTAAAATAAGAGGCGCCCTGAAGATTTTAAAAAATTTGAGGCTTCACTACTGTAATTAAAGTGAATTTTTTAAAATTGTTTTTTTAATATAGCCCCTTATTTAAAATTCTCTACGGTACAACCCCATAATTTATAAATAAACCCCTTCCCAACGGGGAAAACTTACTCATTTGGAATATCAATCTAAAAAGCCTAAACCTTTGTTTAAAAAATTAAATTTTCCGGAATAAATTGCATTTAATGATTTAATTTCATGAGGGGGGGGGGGGAAAAAAAGTACCTTCCATGACTTGCGAATTTCCTTTCTGGTGCCATGAACTGCAAATGAAATTTTTGGGGTTGTTCCTTCAGTGAAGCCCGTTGAAGGAGGTTATCAGGACTCCCCACACAACCCACACGGGTTTGGTGCCCAGGTAAGGTGAGACCACAGGTCAATGGATTTGCACACTTAAAACTGGGGTTGCGAGAGGAAAAAAACCCTTAAGAAGCGTTTTAAAGCTATGTTTAAATTCAAATTCCTGAGGTCAAACACCGCCTGTGAAAGACTAAGCTTTCACCCCGGGATTAAAAAAAGGGAAGGTAGTTCTAATTCCTTGGATCCCCTTTTTATTAGGAAGCAGGGACGTTTCGTAATCTATTAAGGGATCCCAAAAAAAGAAAAATAATTTCCTTTATCCCCGTAAAGAATTCTTTTATCCAAAAAATCCCAGCTACTTGGGGGAAAATTTCCATCTTAACCCTCTTTTAAAAGTTTTAAAGTATGATTTATTCATTTTTAAAAAACTAAATTTGGGGCCAAAAAAGGGCAAACCGACAAGGCTGACAGTGAGAAAAAGTCTCCCAAAATAAATTTCAGAAAATTAAGAAAATGCTTAAAAATCCAAATAAAGTACTGAAGTGTCACTAAAAGAAATATAATTCTAAGCAAGGGGACTTGTCAGCAAATAACGTTGGTGACAAAGGGGGTTTAGGGGTCCCGCCCTATTGAAAGTATAGTTTTTATAAATTAAAGGGGAGACTATACTGAAAAAGCTTGATAAACATAGGGGGCCAGAGAATTTAAGCTGTATTGCCAAGCCTTTTGTTACTTTATACACAAGCAGCGTGTATTCCCACTCGAGTATACCTTAAAAAGGGGGATACCAATAAATGTCCCTATAGATAATATTAAGATTTAAAAAACATTCAATTTTTAAAATTTTAAAAGGGGATTTTTGAAGTAGCTTCTTAACTTACAAATAGTTTCCCTTTAGACCTACATTCGAAGACAGTCCCTTGGGGCCAGGCGAAACATCCTGAGGCTTTTTCCTCCGTCAGTGATTCTGTAGGGGGTAGGAGCCCTCCTTTCGACATAATCTTGACCGTTTTCCCGAATTTTACGGAATTTAACATGGTGTTACACACTGGCGCTGATCTAGGAAAAAAGCTTGTGCAGTGACTAAGCATCTCCCCGACTGTCCCCCCCCACATATCTGCATACTGTCCCAAACTTAAAGCCGTCCACAGACCAAAAAGTCTACGTATGGCTACATGACGCCCCAAATATACGAAAACCCTTAAACCCGGATTGGGGTTAAACCCAAAAGTTTAAAGCCATTTATTTCCCAAAAATTTTTCATGTATCATGCAGCAAAAAAAAGAAATAACCTTTAAAAAAGTTAGGGGAGCAAGTCCTGACGTGCTAGCTCGATCACAAGCTCGGATTGTCCTTTAAGGTGGTTTGGGGGTGTATTTCAGGGAAAGGGAAGCCCGGAAAAAACGTCTGGGGGAAAAAAAATAAATGTACTCAGTCCCCCCCTTCCGCCCTTCCCCCCGGGTAATAATTTTTTACCTTTATTTTTTAAATGGATGGGAAAAAACCTAGGAGACGCATATACTCCTGGAACTGGGGGAAGACCCGTGTCAGGGGTCACGCTGGTACCCTTCTGGGGAAGAGCGAAATTTTGCGTCTTCCCCTGGTAGTCAAACCTGTGGCGGTCGTAGCTGAAGAAGTGGGATCGTTTTAATACTCAAACTGCTTACCCTGACCAGGTAAATGAAAGCGGGGGTAAACTTGGAAAGTTTTTTTTGGAAACCCCAAAACCCCCCCCCTCCCCCCAAACCTTTTCCATCCCCAACTTTCTAGTCTTGTTCCTTATTGACAAATTTCCCCTTTACATCCCATCCCGAACTAGTAAAATAAATGGAAAAATTTTTTTTGCTCGATCCCTCCCCATGAAAAATATTAAGAAGTATTTATAAGGCTCAGGAACACAGCCCTTTATTTTTGAAGGTCCAAAAATAAACCCCCACAAGTAGAACCATCAAAGGATTGTCAGATCGGTCTGAAATTGGCGCACAGAATCCACAAGGGGTTTACCTTTCCAACAGTTCACACTACTCGTTCCTCCATTCAGTACTCACATCTCTTCTCTATCTCTCCAGATGGTTTCCACCTTCCGTCTTCACAGGCCATCTTAACGCAGCCAGCCAGGAAGACTTTACCTGGGGGGTAGAGCGCCCCCCGGAACTCACAACCTGGGAAGAGTAAACCCGGTGAAATAGATTCTCCATAAAAAGTCTAAGTTTGTCAATTTAAAAGTGAAACAAACAGGTACTTAAAAGGAAATGAACTTTTAATCCATTAACTGTCGGAAGAATAGTCACTTCAAATGAACATTTTTCATTAGTAAGGCACAAAAGTAAAGTACAGAAAGATTGATCGTCTACAATCTACTTACATCCGCACGTTTTCTCTCCGTGGTAGAGTCGTGGTGTCGCAGATCCGTTTACGCAGATAATCTTCAGACATTTTTCTGGCAGGATTTCCAAGACTGTGCCAGATGGCTGTAGCTTTTCCTTATGAGGGCACGAGGACAGGGCTGTGCAGTCCTGCTGGTCTTTAAATTTTTTTTTTTTTTTTTTTAAGTTTACCAGATACAGCTAGAATAAGAGCAACAATTAAAGAAAAAGGGAGAACCACTAAAACTTGTGACCCACTGATAGTCATTCCAACTCGCCACGAAGCCTCAGATTTGTCGTCACTTCAAGTTCCTAGTCTAACATATTTAGTCAAAGATTTGAAAATTAGTACTAGGTCAGTATATTGCATGTCGAAAAGTGAAAATTGGGCATGTTAAACATACCACGATTCACCCTAGAATGGAATATTAAAGAGAAAAAACTAAAATACACTGCCTTCTAAAGGTATACAAGCACCTTGAGGTCTGGCTCTTAGACCTATCAAGGAGAGAGCAAGTATAGCGAGAGTAGAGTCAAGGAGATTTAACAGAGGTTTGTGTTTACTTCACGAATTAGGGAACTGGGTTTTTTTAGATAACTTTTTTGGGTTTGGACGTGGCAAAAATTTGGGGCTTTTAGTCGGTATTTGCTATGCCTTTATGTCCCAGTGTCGTGGGATGAAATGCAAGGGGACATGGGATACGCATGCGCTTTTAGTAATCGTGCAAGGTACTGTTCCTGAAGGATACACGAGTGTACATAACAATTAGCGTATGTACGTACCGTAATGATGTACATTTCCAAAGTTTGGCTGGCTGTTTCTGGGACTTTTTTTAATAGTTTCAGTGAGGATGCTATGTTCAGTTGGGGCTCGGAAAGAGTTGTAGGGAAGTTTGTCCTGTGGGGAGGCCAGTTTTATCGTTATCTTTGGTGGTATACGAAGGTCTTTGCTTGAGTGCATAATTCAAAATGGGCGAGGGCAATTTAATTTTTAAGCAAACCCAGCGAACACTACATAATCAAACTAGAACTTCATAAGAGGGTTTAAATCAGAAATTATTACTTTCGAATGTTTCAAAACTAAGGTTTGAAAATTTCAGCATTCAGGTTTTTTACTGTAAAATATTCCTGACAGCCGGGTGTGGCTCGTCGTTGGTTTGCGCAGGAGCAACAGCCTGGTTGATCGGCGCTGATCCACCAGGAGGCCTGGTCACAGCCCGGGCCGCGGGGGGCGTTGACCCCGAAATCTCCAGGTAAACTCCAGGACCTTTACCACAGATTTACATTATCCCTTTGTAATAAGCTTTCCTCAGCGTACAGCGAGAGGCTTCAACAACATAGACTGGTCTTCCTCCCCAGGAGAGGATACTTCGCCCCCTTCTCGAAATATTTTGGACGGGGGAAACGTCTTACCCCAAGACTCCCAGAAACCCTAGACCCGGTTATGTGCAAAGACTTTAGCGTTTGCGATGAATTACGAGACGGCCGACCCTTCAGAAAATTTAAATCTCTGTTACCCCACCCTTTCTATGGTTGGTATAAAAATTTAAGGTCAAAATAGGTCCGGGGGCCCCGGACCGAAAAAATTTTGATAGCTAACGAGTTACAATTAATGAATTAAATGTTTATCTGGTCACTTATTTAGCAAAATTTTTAATTAGGACCCCCCCCCACCACACAAAAGCGGTAATATTTTATTTACAGTAAAAGCAAAGTCAGAATGGTTTCAATATCCAAGTGGAAATACTTACACAATTTGAACGTTTTGAGCGAGTTGTTCTGAATTCGGTTAATTCTTTATGCTTTTCCAGTACAAAATGACGCAATTTAAATGACATTTGTCCATCTGGCAAAGTTTACATTCGTTTGATCTACATCGTCGTGGCGATTAATTTAAACCGGACCCGGGGGGTATGACATCAAGATCGGCTTATGTTGGATACCCCAGACACGGTGGCGCTCCTGCTTTGACAATGTAATGGACTGATGTGTCAGTTCTCCAGGTCTTAAGTCAATAAAATTCATCGGAATCTTTCCCTATTATGTTCCAAACTTAACGAAAACCAAATCGAATTTCTCTCCTCTCTCTTCTCTCTATGAAGGTATACAACTTAATCATTAATCAGGTATACCCAATTTTCAAAATTAACGCACCCCGTTTTTTTTAGGGGGAAAAGGGATAAAAGGATGGAGGAAGGAAAAAAAAAAAAACCAGGTTGTGTCTGAGGAAAACGGGCCCCAATGCGAATTTTAGAAATAGTCCCCCACCAACACAAGCAAGGAGGGAAGAGGGGAAAAAAAAAAAAAAAAAAAAAGTTATTTAAACCCTTGCCCACACTGATTCATACAATAAAAAAGGTAGTCCTGTCATTGCCTATCTACACTACCTACCTTACCCGTTGTAGAATATTTTTCAGGTTCTTCGTATGCTCTTTTTGTTTATTCATAATTAAGCCCGCCTTGGGCGATAATAAAGGGTTTTAAAAAAAACCTGCTACCACTGTATCACAGATTACACTTCTGACCTGCAATATTCCCTGACCCTCTGAAAGTCACTTTCAATACAGATTAACTGCAAGAGAAGCTAAATTTGAATTTTACTGATTTTTCGAAAGTTAATTAGCTTTCGAAATTTTAAATTTCCCTTGCATGCAGCTGATATTTATCAAATTTTACCAAAATCTAAGATTTCAAAATATATATATATATATATATATAATTAAATTTTCGTGCCATCTTTGAGAAACGTTTACTTTATAGTTTAGTTGCCATAGAACATGTCACCACGTACCTGCAAATCTTAAAGCTGTTTGCTTTCCATCAGGAAGTTTTGGAATATGATCGCAGAGGCAAACATCTTCATAGGAAGTTACGACCCTAATTCTAGTTAGAGGCACACCTGGAAATTATACTAAAAAAAATTGCGTAGTAACATACGAGAATACCTCTAAAATCATAGGCTATATTTTTCTTTCTACGTTCTTGCCAACTTATTTCATGGTTATAGAATTAAAATTCACGTCCGTAGGTTTCACATGTTACACCAGCTTACTCTGTTAGAGGTGTATGTGCAATAAAAAAATTTAATGCTCTCGGAAGAATGTGTACAAATGGAGGGTGACGACGTCTGTCCTACAGAGATGTGTTAATACAGTAATTTTCATTAAGTAAATTTTAGTTACCTTCTCCGAGAGATCACCATCCACTGTACCAGGTGTTGCATAATCCTCTAGACGTTATCTTTTATTCATGAATGCAAGTAATATTTAGAGTATTTAGCTTCATACATTTAATGCAAATTAAAATATAGGCTACACATGTTCAATGTACCTAATAATATACTTCACTGTATAGAGTTGAGAACTTCAGTATATTTTAATTTTTATATCTTAGAAGTTAAACCAGTATGATAGACGGTAGTATCTAGATTCTAGGAACTCAGACCTGCCGGAGTTCAACTCGCCAGCAGCTGGCGGAGTTAAACCTGTTTGAAATACGGTGTACCCATCGCCCCTGGCATGTGCTGCACAGCATAACTTTGCGGACATTGCACCAGTCGCATGAATAATTCTGGTGATAGCACACTAAAGTGATCCGATTCTTGTTATTTTCTGTTATGTAAATGTAAGCTATAACCAGTGAAAAAGGGACTATGCTGGAAAAGGGGCTGAATTAAAGAAATTTGACCTACTCTTTGATCAACAATATTACATTTAGTTCCCAGGCACTGTATGACCTACAGTTCAGGTAATTAATATAGATCATTCACGTTATTTATGGTGTGGACGGTATTCAAAAGAAGTCATTTCATAAGGGGTTACTCTAGGGACTGCAGAATATTCTTAACCAAGCTATGGAAAAACTTTGAATTTTCCCGAATTCAGCATGGGTAAATTTGATTACAATTGCTTGAAGAGTGATACTGATTTGACCCTTAGAGAAATTTCGAGTGAGGGGGGATGTGGAGAGCCGCTGAACGGACGAGGACGCTGTAGCGATGAATGTGTAAACACTGGGATGTTAATTTTGCATTTGTAATCGGGCTCATCGAAGTTAATTTCGTGTGTATGGAACTTAATCTAATTCAGAAATTGCAGAATACGTTCCCACTGAAGAATAGAGATAAATAGCATGAAAAAACCCTTACAAAATGGCTACAAGGGTGAAAAAATAGGGCACTATTTTTCCAGCAACACGCCTTAGGTAAGTGATGCTTACCTATAATGTACAGTAATTTTTGCTCTGGGTATCCAACTATATTTAAGGTAGCATAAGGGTGTTTCATATAAAAATTGTAATTAATAATTAAATGGCAAGTGGCAATGAAATTTTTTTAATAAGACAATTGGTATATGTTTTGTACTGCTATATTTTTGTGTACTCTGAAAGTAAACCAAAATATAGTCCATACAATTTTAATTTATCACAGTAGCCAGTTTTTAATATTTTTTTTTTTTAACTTTTATTTGAGGACACTATACAATCTACATTTTGTTATACATAAAACTTTTATATATAATATACAAAAAGTATAAACCAAATCATTTCTCATACAATTGTTTTGTATAGTAACAATGTACAAAGATTCTCGAAAACTAAAAACCCCCCTGACAATGTTTTCGAGGAGACTAAATCGTAATCCCCACACCCCATATAACCCAAATACACATATGGAACTTTGCATTACTCTAGAATAAATAAGAAAAAAAATTTCCAAGATGTGTGCCTCCTCCATCACCCACAAGGTACCAGTATGAAAAAGGTTAAATATACCCTTAATCAGCGTTGTATATACGTTCCTACCTCATTAACTTCCAACAGGAAGAAATACTGAATAGGGCAATGTACAATGCCCCCTCTCGTAACAGAAATCTAACATTGACAGAGTTAAATATACAGGGAAATACACGAGCCTGGTGCATGCAAAGGGACCTCGCCCATACTACAGTTTTAAAAAAAGGAT